CCCCCCTTCCCCCTTCCCCTTCCAGCCTTCCCCCCTCCACCCCCAATTCCCCCCACGAACGTTTCCCAGTATTAAGATTGCCATATATAGAAGAAGAGAAACTCTCCCCAAGCAAGCCCTCCACAGTCCCCAATTCCCCCAACAACTCCGGAATCCCGCCTGGCCAGCAAGCTGAGGGTCCAGCGTGTCCTCGACACGTGTATTCTCGTACAGCCGGACGCCGTACTTCTTCGCCAGTACGTCAGCTAGGCCGTTGATGTACTTCAGGGGGTGGAACTCGGCCGACCTGTAGACGGGTGCCGTACATCATCTTGATGATTTTGATTATGAATCCAACACGAAAAAGGGGGTAACGACTCGCGAGCAATGCTGATTCGCACACTGACACGCGCACAATGACATATACTACATATACGTGAAGTTTGGTGCGGCATGTATACGTGTAATGAATTAATGGGCCGAGCTCGCTCCCCTTTTTCCCCCCCAACAGCCCGCCCTCCCTGGAGCATGCCTCCTAGGTCAGAAGACATTCGCCACGCGCATGAGCGCATCTTCCTACCCCCACTCGCATAACCATCGTTGTGCTTCCGTACTTTCGTACCCACCTTCGAACGTACGAACGCGTACCTGGGGAAGATCAGCGCCTGGCCCAGCTTGCCATGTCGGGGGTCACCGGCCAAGTCCACCAGTCGTACATCCGACATACCGGCCCGGTGGCAAGCCGCCAACTCGTCTCGGAGCATGTGAAGCGTGGACTGGTCGGGGTCGTGTGTTTGTGTTTGTGTTTGTGTTTGTGTTTGTGGGTGTGGGTGTGGGTGTGGGTGTGGGTGTGGGTGTGGGTGTGGGGGGAGTTGGGGAGTTGGGGAGTTGGGGAGTTGGGGGGGTTGCCTGCCCTCATAATGTTGTGTTTTCTCGTTCGCACTGAGGACGGGAAGGGGGTTTTCTTAAGTGGGCGGACATCATCGCCATCCAGGAGCACATGCAGTGGTGTGGCCCTCCCCCTC